ATAAGCTTTCCATTGATGTATGGTTTGTTAGGATAGGAGAATATTTGGCAGAGATACAACTATTTGAAGATCTGGAATCTGAGGGTGCAAAAAAATCTAAATATTGAGAAAATCGCCTTTAAAGTTGTCCAAATGAAGTTCTTAGCAATGCATATTACTAATCAGAAATTAAGTTTTGATATATTTAAAGTAGGAAATGTACAAAATATCTTCATGGAGCATTATCTTTCCTTAATAATGATTTTTGGCATAAAAGAAAAATCAATAATTTTGACCCATACAATGTATTGTTGGCTATTGCTACAAATATACCTGTGCTACTTATGACTGGTTTTGTGTTCCAGGGTCACATATTACAATGGTTTCTCAAGGCTCATGTGACACTAAAGACTGTGGTAAGGAAAATTCACCTTTGCCATCACAAGAATAAAGTACATCTAAGTTAAAATATATCACAAAAGTACACTAGTTATGACGAATAAATATTAAAAAAGTGTTTTTATTTTAAAATAAAGAAGAAAATTTAGTTTCAAAATGTACATTCATTTAAATATGTTTCTCCGATTGTGAAAAAACAGCTTTCTGAACTGAGAGCTCTATGACAACATGTCTCTGCAGTGCACATATTACTGTATTTCAACTTGGCCAATACCTTTGGCATGGGGCAGCACGCCCACTGACCATCTTCTGTCTCACAACATGTGGTGTCTACGGGACACTCTGAGGTCCCATTTCCACAAAGAACAGCCTTGACTGGTTCTACAAACAATCACATGACAACACCATGAGCTGCACGTATATCCTATCCAAATTAATACAGTAAATCTCTCCGTTAACCCATTATAAATTTATATGGGATCTCCTTTAAAAAAAGGATGTTTTAATCATGAAACACTCTAGTCCACATCTTCCATACCTTTTAGTTTGACACAGGAACTGCTGTCTGCACTGCATTCATGGTCTTTTGGGCAGCAGTGTTTCCCGTCTGAGCACACAAGGCCCTGAAAAAGAGAAACATTGTATATATTCTTATATATACTATATAGCATATATTCTTATAAAACAAAAAAAGAATAGAAAAGAGTATATCTCCAAGGGGTCTATGTTTTAGCAACACCACGCTTTTTTTGTGACCAGGTGAGAGGCCTTTCAATACACCCCGTCATGGACTAGGAGCTAGTGGTTTGGGCCCAGGTTCCTGTAATAATGTAACTTACCTGTGCTACAGGACAGCACCCATATGATGAAGCCATCAGCAGACAGGAGAACTCAGCAGGACAGAAGGAGCCATCAGGACAGGTGATGTCGTCTTCACTTGCAGGTAATGAGGGAATCATTCTGAACGACTGAGGAATGGGGATTGTTAAAGGAATAGTTCACCCAAAAATGAAAATTATGTCATCATTTACTCAGCCTCATGTTGTTCCAAACCTGTATCAGTTTGTTTCTTCTGTTGAACACAAAAGAGGATATTTTAAAGAAGGTTGGTCACCAAACAGTTGATGGTAGCCATTGACTGAAAAAAATACTCAGTGGCTTCCATCTTTTTGGTTACCAATATTCTTCAAAATATCTACTTTTTGTGAGGCTAATGTAAAATAAAGTAAAGTAAATGATGACAGAATTTTCATTTTTGGGTAAACTATCCATTTCAGACATAACAAGCAGCTCTGAGTACTCTTTTTTTAGACTGTATAATTTCTCACTTTGGGAAGGTCTGTCTGTTTAGCCGGTATCCTCTCCACAAACAGCAGTGTATGTGTGGCGTTTATACACATGGAGTCCATAACACTGCACAACATGTCTTCAGGACAGCAGTGCAGGTGGTCCTCACAACAACAAACACACACACACACACACACACACACACAATTTTACTGTTTGCATTTCTAGTATACACCTCTGTCATTAGCTCAAGTGTACAAACCTCTTTATATGCTCAAGTACTCTCTGTCACTGTCTTCAATCATTTCTGTGCATGACTGTATGGTAGTTAATGCGTTTTATATTGAAAGTTAAATTTTCAAATGAAAATAGCAACATTTTATAAAGTATGCAAACTGCACAGATATAACAATCTTAACAATCTATCGGTAAACACACACCTTGTCCTCTGTTTCTCGCTCCCACCGCGGTCAGCAACGTTCTGAACGTTCTGAAAGACCGGGAAGAGCCAAAGTCTGACGACGTTTTCATATGAAATTTAAAGGGGACTGAGGCGATCATGAATTTGTGTACAGTTTATGGAGCTAATCGCAAAATTTTTAGGGGGGCTGAGTAGAAATTTGGGGGGGGCTAAAGCTCCCCTAAAAATGGCCTAGTGACGCCCGTTCATTCGGGTTCTCATGTCGCTCAAAGATATCGCTTCGGGCGTTAGCGCACCTTCAGGTCACATACTCAACAGTCTTGGTTATTAGACAGAGGTAATTGACTAATACTTTAGATGGCCTCTCCTATGCTTGCTCATTCTGAAAGTACTTTAATTTAGTCCCCATAGATCTACGCACTTGAGTAAAGCAACATTATTTCTAGTCAGCCATGCACACTTAGCTAGAGTAGCCTAATATTACAATAAACAGAGGTTAGGCTCACCCTATTTAGGTTGGTCGAACAACATCCAGTTGACCTAAACGGAAATTCCCTATAAGCCCTTACAGTCTAAGTACACTTAAACTAATACCAAGTGTTAGCCGGATCTCTAAAGATACATGCCCTATGTGTGCCCTATGCTCCATCTCAACTGAATTTTAGTCTTAATTTTAACCTAACGAAGAAAATGCAGGAAAAAAAAAGGATACAACGTAATCTACTAGAGTCAGTAATTACAGAGTGAATGAGAATAAAACCAAATATAACAATTTATTATCAGTCAGGTAAATATGTATTATGCCAATTACATAGCCAATTCAGATATTTCAAATCAAATCAATACAAAACATAAAATTCTCAAAGATAATTCTAAGAGTAAAAGATGCATACCTGACTTTAGAAAAATGCATAGCATATAGTGTGTGGACACTCTACACTACGAGCTTCTGACTACAGGATCGCCCTGATCCTCTTGCAGTTTTCACGTAGACAAAGCAAACATCCTCCAAAATGGATGCAGGAACTAACAACTAGAATTTGCATTGATCAAGTCCTAGATGTGATCGTTTACACCTTTTTGGGGACAGATGGTAATTTGCATGCAAGACACTGGGAAATTTGGCAGTGAGCAAAATATCTCTAAACTCTTAGGATCTTTAATACCTTTTAGTTTACTACTTGTAAGAATGAGACCATTGTACCAGACGTACAGAGACAATTCAAATAATACCAAACATGACTGTGAAGATCACTTGCATTCATGTAGAACATTATATTATTATACTATTGACCATTCTGAGTGAGCTGAGTGAAGGGAAGGATGGGTGAGGGGAAGGAA